TGTGTATTGTCTTCGCTACATCTGTCTTTCGTGCCGCTGCTCCGAGATCGGTCTTCCTCCTCTTCATCGTCGTCATCGCCATCCTCGTTGTTGCGGGACCCACTGTCTCTGTTCTCCTCTTCGTTGCTTGCATCTTCTGCGTACGATTCTCCTTCGTTTCATGTGCCCTCGCTACGTCCACCGCTGACCTCGGTATTATCGTGCAGGTCGGACTGTTGTGTCTTACGGACTGCGTCCTGTGACACGTCTTGTTTTCCGGTGTCGCCTGCCTCGACACCATTGGAACCCCTCAGATCAATTGTCTCCTTCTCCTCTCCCACCCCCTCAATGATTCTCCTCCTCTTCGGATTTTCGATGTTGCGCCGAGGTTGATCTTCCACCCCTTTTGCACATGACGTTTTCCTTGGCGCCCGTGGCGGGGATCGGTTGTGTCGTGTGCGATTCTTCACGGAGGCCGGCGAGGTGGGGGCCGACTCTCGTTGTCGTTTGTTGCTTTCAGACTGTTTCGATTTTTGTGGCCGGCGAGGTGGGGTCGGCGAGGTGGGGGCCGACTTCCCATTTCAGTTTTTTGCACCCTATCACATCTGTTCTTTCAGTGTCTGTCTCTTTGTACCATTTTACAAAGGCGCACTCGTGCGTGGTGGACACTCCTTCTGTACAAGTGTTCATGACAAAAAACATTGCCACAGATGCATACCACATACTTCCTGTTTGTGCCCTCACAAAAGATGCGTTCTAGTGCGTATTAACATGTCCTCTGGCGGTGGATTGCACCCGTTTTCCGACATGTATGTGTGAAGAGCTTCGCGAAATAACTCCTTGCACGGGAGGGCATCCAATATTGCTTTGGCGGTTCCCGCCGCACCTTCGTTCCCATTTGTTCTTGCATTTTCTCGGGGGAAATATCAGAGTTGCATCTTTGCCGTGTCGCGTGCGGCAAGTGTGTTCATTCCACGTGCCGAGCACTCCATGACCGACGACCAATTTTTTGTTGTCCTCTTCCTGTGTTTCCGTGCACGGTCAATGTCGTCGTCAAATGCGACTGTCCTTCGCACGTGATTTACCATTTGAAACGAGGCTTTGCGCTTGTTCGACGACAGGAAAGGCTGTTTGCAAAACTTCTGGTGGTTGTGCTCCCAGACATCGGCCGCGAAGCTGTCAGGGAGACCTGAACGTTCGATGCACGCCCTCAAATGCAGAAGGTCATGTAACTTCGGCACTTTCC